AAAGCCACAGTGGCAGTTAAGACAGGACACGGAGAGCAAGTGCCGGGCAGTTCAGCCTCTCCAGCAGCACACAAAGGTTTGATGAATCGAGAACAGCAGAGTGCCTTGGACTGGGGCTAGTGGTAGGCTCTGCTCTGGGACCTCACTTACTCACCCCTTCCCTAATCCCCCCTGAAAAATGAAGGTCCTGGTCTCTAGAGACCCCTCCAAAGAGCAAACAGGCCCTGGAACAAAACCTGGAACTCCCTTGGGGAGTGGAGAGGCTCAATGTGGTACCATCTATGTGATGCTCATGTTGTCCCGTGCTGGGGTTGACGGGGGAGCTCTTCCCCAGGGCAGATGCAATTCAGGCAACTCCTGCGAGACTCTGAAAGTCCACCTTCCCTCTATACCTTACCCTGGAGCATCACTGTCAGGGTGACAGGCATCTTCTTAGGCATGATGTCATTCGGTGGCGGCCGCTTTGGTGAGCGTTGGAGCGCTGTAGTAGCAGGGGGCTGAGGAGGGGACTGGCAGGAGAGTCAAGATGACTACAGCCCCTAAAATTCTCAGTCATGACTGGGGCAGGGTGGAATCCAAATGCCCTCCCTGTTTTAAAAAAAAAAAAAAAATTCAGGGCCAGGTTTGTCCACTCATTCAATAAGATGTCTCGAACTATTATGTGGCAGGCACAGGGACATACAGAGAGATCCAAAGGCAGGGTCCCTGCTCTCTGGAAGCTTCTGGTCTTAGGGGGACACACAGTCACTAAGTCAATGAGATCCTATTGGATAGTGACAGGTGCTCTAAGGGACTAAGATGGGGTCATGGGATAGAAAGTGGCTGGACTGGGGCTGGGGGCTACTTTGGGTGGGCGATAAGAAGAACAGGCCTTTTTGAAGAAATGGCAGTTGAGTTGAAATGGATGAAGGGATGCAAAGATCCACGCTTCCCCAAATGACAGTTTCAGAGCAAAATACAGGTTCCCAGCCCCATCTCAGATTTTGTGAATGAAAATTTTAGGGGCAGGGCCTAGGAATTTGCCTTCTTCCAACTGATTCCCATGCACACCGAAACTGGAGACCTTCCTTGGGGCTTTTACTTTAGAATCACACTGGTGAATTTCAGGGTTCCTTCCAATTCCCGGAGTCTGTGGCTTAGGGAAGGGAGCCTCTTTGGGTGTGAAAGCCAGGGGCAGGGAGAGGAGCAGGACTGCTTGTGGTCAGATTGCAGCATGCCGAAAATAAGCGTGCACAGCTTCTCACCACACAGAGCTCACCCAGGGTCCTGCGTCTATGGCTGTCAGCAGTTCTTCTAAACCTGCCCCCCCCCCCCGCAGGAGTCCCTCCCTCTTCCCACTCCCACTCCCGTTGAATTCCACATACTGAGAGGGCTGCAGTCACAGCTGCGTGGATCAGCCCTGTTTCTTGCGCGTTGGGAACCATTCCAAGCAGTCGGTACATGCGCACTCTCCAGGCATATTTTTAAGATGCCAGGGTCACCCCGCCCC